TGATAGTATAGTTTGATGTCCTGTTTCTTCACTATGTTGGCGTATAGAGGAAACACAGGGGTTATTCAATTTTTTGAAAATGTATAATAACTGATGTAAATTCATTTATTCTGCTTTAGATACTGAAGATGGAATCTGATAGAATTCCGAAACGTTTATCCATGTCCCCTTTTTGTCAATAAACAATGTTGTTTATCATAAGTGTTGTAATCTTGTTTATAATCAAACTTCGTTTTCCTTCGAACACATCGATTGCTAGTTTCAATGTATTTGTACCGTCAAAAAAAAATCACGATAACAAAACAGCCTAGAATGCGATGGTGGCATAGCCTAATGAAATCGTAAATACATTTAATATTTACCTCATAGTTTTACTTTTATTTTACGATATCATATTAATCGATAATGTGAGCTTTATTTAGTGTTCGATTGAATAAGTTGATTATAGTCATTAAACGACAATATAGTCATATGAGATTATTTTAAATACAATAATCCAATTATTGTACTGAGTGTCAAACGGTATTATGACAACTTGTAATAATGTTTAAGTAAGACTGTGATGTAAATCTCTATAAATGCTATAATTTTACGCTTTCAGCCCACAGTATGAGATCAAATAATTTACGTCAAAACGTATTTGTTCTAGCAACTAAGATAATTTCAAAATTTTGGCTGAAGAATATTACAACTTAAACAAATTAGGGAAAGCTAAATGTAACAATTTTTAGCAACGCAAGTAAAATGAAATAAAAATACTAATGCTGAAAAATACTGTTGAATTTCTTTAGTTTAAATGGCCATCTATACATCTAGATGGCTGAATTTCGCACGTACAGATTTACAGGTGATTTAACACTGGCAACATAAAAAGGAAAGATACATACGCGTGGTGAAATTAAGGTTTCAACTAGAAAAGATGTTGAAAAATTCACCAAAGAAATCGTAAAGCTTAAACTACTTGTATTCTTACGTATAACGTTTCAGTAGGGTGTCCTTCCCCAGGTAAAAGTTGGTAATCAGTATACCGAATACGTTTATAATGATTGTGTTCGCTTTTTATACGAATGCACGTTTTGAGGGTCCCACGTGACAACAATACACATGTTATGCATATGAAAATCTACAATAAAATTGAAGATACAATATAAATTAAGCGTATAAATTACTTATGATGTGAACGCTTTTTTCTACGATGGCAAAGTATGATTATCATTAAACATAAGTATTGGGCCTACATTTTTACCACTACATTATTTATTCAGCCATTTAGGATTTTTCAAGATAAAGAGTGTATAATAGTACTTCAAATACACTATGTCTGAATTATTGATTTCCGACGATGCGTTTCGCTCAATACAAGCTGCTCCTCAGTGGCATGTCTGCGGACTTACAACGCTAGAATTCGGGTTTCGATACCCGTGGTGGGCAGAGCACAGATAGCCCATTCTGTAGCTTTATGCTTAATTACAAACAAACAATACAAGCTCGCCAGGTCAGTTAGGACACAAGTATTTGTGCTTTTCTTCTAGAAAAGCCACATTGGGCTATCTGCTGTGTCCACCGAGGGGAAGCGAACCCCTGATTTTCGCATTTTAAATCCGCAGACTTACCGTTGTCCCAGCGGGGGAAAGGACACAACGTTGTTACATATTTATATAAGCCATAGATAGGCTGATGAGCTCTGTATCGAGTGAAACGCGTCGTCGGCAGTGGATACGGCGAATATAGTGTGAATGGAATACTATTATGAATGTACTCTTCTAATTCTTGAAAATCCCTAAGATACTAGATATAGAATGCAGTGTTAAAAATATAATTGGCTTAATACTAGTACCTGATGACAACTAAATAAATTACTATTAAGTATACTTTGAAATGGCGGACATAGTGTGATTAAAATACTATTTTTCTTCGTGAAAAATCTCATGGGACTGAATAAAGAAGGTAGTATTAAAAATAACTAAAATAAGCCTAACACCAATGACTTATGGCAAGTATAATTAATTCTAATCATGCTTCGCTAGCTCAGAAAATGCACACACACCATAGCAAGTGTTTTTATATTAATTTCTATTAATTATACGTCTCATAAGACATTAGTATTAGGCCTAGTATATTTTTGACAACATATTCTTTATTCCTTCCTTGTACGAAAACCCTTAAGGATTGAATAAAGAATGTAGTATTAAAAATATACTAGAACTGATACTAATATCTTATAACAAGTACAATTAATCGTAATTATGTTTCGCCAGCTTAAAGGCCTTTTACACCCAAAACAACTGTATTGCGGGTTTCTAAACCCAATTTTTAGCATTATAAACCCTCAGATTTATCTCTGAGCCACTGTGGGATTCTACTATAATAGAATGGATTTTCTGAGCTTCTGCAAAGGTTAAGAATTTAGATTTTATCTAAATATATCCAATAAGCAACATGAATCAAAAAATAACATTTGTTGATATGATAGGTCAGAATGCGATTTTTGAAGCAACAAAACGGACATTAATAGAACAGGATATTTTTTTATTAATTTACGATGACAACTAGAATAAACAAATAGGTCACAAACTCTTGAACTCAATTTTGAAGAACTGATCAGAGGAAAGACAGACAGCCTATCCGAAGCACCCGCCGCCAAAATGGCTTAGTCTAATTCTTTAAAAAGAATAACGGGTTTAATGGTTTCTTTTATGAGGTTATAGCTCGAAGTGCTGGGCGCCTTTCGGCAGTATAACAATTTAAACCCTGGACTTCTCGATCTTCAGCATGGAGTGCTAACAACTAGACTACGTGCAGCCCTCCATTAACTTCCTTTAAAAACAATCAACCGATGTTGATAACTTACTTTTTTCAAGCTCACCCTACATGATTTGAATGTTAAAAAACAGTATTAATTAATGTCGGAAGAATAACGTGTTAAACTAGTATCTCAGTGACTCTTGGATATGTTAAGAAATGAATAAAAAAAAACTATAACACGAGCGCTTTCGAAAGGGGGATCTTCAGGGATAAACTGGGAATGTTTAGGTATTTGTTAAGGTGAGCATGTAGATATCACGGAAACTTGCTTTATTTTCGAATGCTCGCGCAAAACTACTCAATAGCTATTTGCACAAGCTATCGTTTTTTTTTGTTGTTGTTTCGGTAACGTGACGTTAACTTCGACCCACTGATCTATAGTCCGTGTTTTCGATTGTAGTAAGATCAAAGTAAGCACTCGAATAGAAGTATTATGCTTATTCGTGAGAAATTATTATTAAGAACTTGCTAATAATGTAACTCAGTAAACACTTGGTTAACTTTAGAAGATCAATAACCATGATCCGAAAATTTAAAAAATGACCAAGACCAATATTCTGTAAAAAACCCCAACAAAAACTGCCATATTTATATACTTTAATATACGAATCGAACTATTTCTAACAATAGAAAAAAAAAAAATGTCTTCTAAACATTACCCGTTAGGAACACTCATGACGGTTACAATCAGATTTATCGATATTAGTTACGATTACAGTCTGATTTATCGATATTAGTTACGGTTACAGTCAGATCTATCGATATTAGTTACGATTACAGTCTGATTTATCGATATTAGTTACGGTTACAGTCAGATCTATCGATATTAGTTATGACTACAGTCAGATTTATCGATATTAGTTACGGTTACAGTCATATTTATCGATATTAGTTACGGTTACAATCAGATTTATCGATATTAATTACGGTTACAGTCAGATCTATCGATATTAGTTACGGTTACAGTCAGATCTATCGATATTAGTTATGACTACAGTCAGATTTATCGATATTAGTTACGGTCATATTTATCGATATTAGTTACGGTTACAGTCAGATTTATCGATATTAGTTACGATTACAGTCTGATTTATCGATATTAGTTACGGTTACAGTCACATCTATCGATATTAGTTACGGTTACAGTCAGATCTATCGATATTAGTTACGGTTACAGTCAGATCTATCGATATTAGTTATGGTTAGTCAGATTTATTGATATTAGTTACAGTTAGTCAGATCTATCGATATTAGTTATGGTTACAGTCAGATCTATCGATATTAGTTATGGCCACAGTCAGATCTATCGATATTAGTTATGGTTACAGTCAGATTTATCGATATTAGTTACGGTTACAGTCAGATCTATCGATATTAGTTATGGTTACAGTCAGATTTATTGATATTAGTTACAGTTAGTCAGATCTATCGATATTAGTTATGGTTACAGTCAGATCTATCGATATTAGTTATGGCCACAGTCAGATCTATCGATATTAGTTATGACTACAGTCAGATTTATCGATATTAGTTACGGTTACAGTCATATTTATCGATATTAGTTACGGTTACAATCAGATTTATCGATATTAATTACGGTTACAGTCAGATCTATCAATATTAGTTACGGTTACAGTCAGATCTATCAATATTAGTTATGGTTAGTCAGATTTATTGATATTAGTTACGGTTACATTCAGATCTATCGATATTAGTTACAGTCAGATCTATCAATATTAGTTATGGTTACAGTCAGATTTATTGATATTAGTTTCTCGCTCTTGGTTACTGTATTAAAATATTGTGTAACGCACAACCAGTTAGGCGTCAATGCAAGGAAACTTCTACATCTGATAAACGTGAAAAATAATTTTGTAACCTGTATGAACTGAGCATGATGCGAGCTGCCTTGTCAAATGCTTAAAATCCTGTTTATACAATTAAGTCATATCAATATCAGGTTAAAAATAAAAGGGCGAGAAAAAAAACAACAACACAATTTTGAATTTTAGTTTGTAGTGCCATCTGACGCAGAAAAACAACGTCACTTTTTGTAGAGCTCCTTAAACCAATGAGAACTTACTAAGCGCAGATAGGTACTTGTATCATTCTTTCGCATTGTCCTTTGAAAAATCGTATGTTTGCGTAATTACCTATCTCTTACTCTTTCTAAAGCACATACATGCTAAAAAAGTTAAGAACTTTGAAAGTAAATACATATCAGAATAAAAATAAGTAGCTAAACTATGTCACTCCGCGATATTTTTTTTTACATAATCATTTCCACAGAACCACCAATGCTGTACAACCGTTTCGGACCAAGACTTGATCAAATATGTAAGTATACATCAACCCACCTTTCATGTTTTTTTTTATTTTCATGTGTTGTTACAAAAATAAGAAAAATTAACAAGTTTACTAATTTAAATTCTAGTTTTTTTTTATTATATTAGAAGCATTTCAACAAATAATTATTTGGTCAAAAATATGAGAAATTAACTTGGTTAGCGAACTGAAAATTCAACGTATCCATTTTAAACCTACTAATAGCTCTTTAGGATAAGCGGAGGTGCTTCGGATTCATTAATTGATATTCCCAAGAAAACAATGTCAGATATATTAAATAAATCGAAGATCGATGTGCGTATAAAATAAAAAGCTTTATTCTGAAGATAAATATACAATGTATTAAACCCAATACTGGAATTGTGTTGTGACGTAATTCTACCGCTCCTTCCCAACCCAAATATAAATATTGTTCACGAACACCACCTTCACAAATAGAAAATGTTCAGGTTATACACCAGATTCAAAAAATTACCCCAAGCAACTACAAATGTACAATATTTTTCTGACAAAGTTAAGAAACATTTTTTAGCCACATCATTTACTCATGTTATTGTACGATTGTTATGACTTACAAATTGGCACTCGCTTTCATACAGAAATTCTAATTTCACACAAATATGAATATTAACAAGTTTATATAAAAATATCAATAATTATCCAATACCAATTATTATATTCACGAAAGAAATATTCTGGAATTACTACGTACAACTCTTGAACCACACACAATATTTACATATTACATTCTCCAAAACAGAAATGTGAAAATAAAGTAAAAATGCCAAAGACAATGGTAGAAGTGAGGTTAACAAAACCTCCAATAAAACATTATCTAGCAATATCGAACACGAGGTAAAAAAAAAAAAACATATACGTACAGGAATATGACATTCTTCCAAAATGACAGAGAACAAAGGTGCCAAAACTAAACTACACGATTGTAGTATTAAAGTTTTTCATAACAAAGAATACTTATGGCTAAAGTATAAACTCATAAAAAAAAAAAGATCTGTGGAATTATCTGGCGACAATATGTGGAATTAGTTAAGATATTTAAATATTTTCACATCTAACACGTTAAAAGCGATGAAACAAATTTAGCACTGAACTATTTTGTAAATCATCTGAGTTAGGAACAATACCTTAAAGATTCAAGATATCATGATAGTATTAATATAAATCAAAAATTAAACATCTGATTTAGAAACTTTTAAGACCAATGGAATATTAAGCTGCTAACAAGTGGTCCAAAAAAGTTAAATATCTAAACATTTGAAAAACAGGTAGCTGAATTGTAGCACTTTTCTGTAGTACCTTGTAATAGGGAATGATCTAATTACATATTCTTAGACCAGGGGCTCCCAAACTCCTTCAGCACAAAACCACTCCAGAACATTCCATATTCTGACTGAGGAGCCCCCATCTTAGACATGTTTTCATGGTGGTGAACAGCTTGCATTAGCATCTTAGTTTGGGATGAATAAAAACAATGCATAAGAAGTAGTGCAAGTTAGGACTGACTAACAGAATTCTGGGCTGTAAAATTAACATTTAAAACGTTGCCCAAGTGTTGAATTAACATAATTTAACTTTGATTTTAAGGGTCAACCCAATATCTAACCATTCCACTCCTCAATTAAATTACTTCTTAAAGTCCAAAAGTGGATGTGCAAAGGAAAACAAAGAACTCTTTTTCTAGAATAACTCCACTGTAGTTTTTACTTTTTTTGCTACAAAAGATTCCTGTTAGATTACATTTCAGGTTACCTATGACTTCTTGCTACCAAATAAGAGGAAAATTCTGTATGTATGTCAGTCTGTCCAATTTTATTCCTTCAATATGCTCTTAATTTATAAGTTTTCTCTCTACTCCACAAAATATTTTTTTTGTTACCTTTTGTAAGTATAAACACCAAAGTGATATCACATCACCATAACAATTATAATTACTGGTTTAATATTAGCAATTCTAAGAGCTTACAATTGAAAGTATAGAAAAAAAAAGAAGAAATATGTCAACCAAACTACACCTGTCACATCCAATAACAAGGCTCATCAAGACAACAGGGATACAACAAACACAGCAACAGCAGTGGTCTAGGTGCCATTTAAATCATTTGTATAAACAATAACTGTCAAGCTTGCTAGCTCAGGCTTTATATGTCATAACATTTATAAATTAGAAATGTTAGAATTACTAGTAAAAATCCTACGAATAATTTCTAAGATAAAATCAAGCTTCAGACGAAGAAACAACTTAATTTACAAAACAGAATTTATTAACAGAGTAAAGTTCATTTGTTTAAAGTATGAAAAAAAAAACTAGTTTCAGGAGATCAGCTGTCAAATAATCATAAACACTGAACAAGATAAAGAAAGGAATTTAATAGATAAGTGAAACAAACAACTTGAAGGATATCTAATTGTAAATAACAGAAGAAACATCAATCAAAAAGTTACTTTCAACTAAAACCGACTAGCACAGTTATTGCATTAACGACAGGACCAGCAAGAATACTTTCCGTTACACAAACTTGTTATTCATGTAGAAGGCTATAAAAATTGGGCCATCTTTAAACTGTAGAGCAAAGGTCACAAGTTGAACAAAATAAATAAGTTAAAAAATTTCCAGTATGTACACTTTCATATGATAGACAAGGATAGCGTTTCATGCCAGATATTATTATTTTAACTACACTACATGGTCAGTTCTAGTAGAATAAAAAGGAAATAGGTACTTGAGCCTAATGTCAAACACTTATTGTATTCAGTACTGCAGATATTTCATTCATACTCTTCCAATTCCTTTTTCAAAAATCACTGATGGAAAAACTAGAGCAACAATGTGCTGTATTTAAATTACATTGAAAAATTTAATATATTTTAACCTATTCTCTCCTGCAAGTTTCAGCCCATCCTGCTTAACTACGTACAACTATGCTAGCAAAAAAAGCTAGGTAACAAATATACTAATCTTAGTGCCTACATATTTTATTACTTTTTTTCTCTCTCTCAATGAATGTCCAGATGTCATGATTAAAATCTTTTTTGACTGGAATAGCTTACAATTACATAAATTTCAGTGGTAAATAACAATAAGATCATATGGTATCATTATCTGCTGTCTATAAATATTAGGAGTACAGATGAACTACACAACCTCATAACCAATACCAAATGTACTGAAAACATTTCTCAAGTAAACACTGATCCCCTGCAATCAAATGAAGATGAAATCAGTAAACTATTCAGCAAGGCGATGTCGGTATTCTCAATTATTTACTCCCTACATACTTCCTTGTTTTCAATTAAGAGTACAATCAAAAAGAAAGATAAAATAACAGATAATTAGCTATTTAAGTTTAGGACTCTGGCTAATTGGAGCAGCCTGATGGAACCAATTATTGTAATATATATTTGTGTGTAAGTCTGATTAATCTGACAAATTTAGACTAGTTTCTTAACATTTGCTGATGAAATTAATTTCTCTACTTATTTGTCAATAAAACTTGAAGGCTGAGGCCTACATGACTATTACTGGCACCTAGGTCAGTCATACTGATACAACAAGAATTAAGTTTTGGAAGTAAACTGTAGTTGAAATCAAAGCAAAATAAATGCAGTTCTTGTGGTAAAATATTCTCAAAAAAATAACAAGTAGCTTCAGACAAAACTTATGGATGTACCTTTTAATTGTTTCAGTTCTAAAAACTAAGTTCTTTAAATCCCTGAATACATATATATATATATATATATAAAGAAATGTTATCTTGTTTTATAATAGACATTTTATGCTTATATAAATAAGAGTTGGGATACGATTTATTTTTGTGCCCAGTTAACACAATTTTCAAAACAAAACATTTCTACACCATGAAAACACAATGAACTAAAAGGATTAGCAACAACACTTGCACTAAATTTGCATTTCTTTACAAGTATAGGATTATCAAACACACACATTAAAGAGAAACAACAAAACATGTTCTAGTTTCAACCTATACAATTTTCATACATATGGCAACATCATAAAAAAACTACTGCCATAAGATTTATTTCTAGAGAAAGCTGGATTATACAAAGCTAATGTTACATTTAGTTGACGAGTTTTCCTTTTCATGCTGAAGTCCTCTTTTTGTCCAGCTTTTCAGTTTGTTGAACTCTGACCTACTATTGGCTATGCTCTGAGTGGTAGCGGCAAGAGGGATACGGAAATCATCCTCTCCAGTTAGTTCCTCTTCTGAACCTTGACAACAATGAGCATTCAAAGATGGACACTGACGACTAGGAGGGCGGGGTGGAGGGCCTCGGGTTTTAGCTTTAGGAGGAAGAGGGGGTGGTTCACAGGATAATCTTCTGGTGGGTGAATGATGACAAGGAGGTGGGGAAAAAGACTTTTTATCTGAACTACTGTCACTTATAGCTATTTTAACTGGTGAATAATTGGTCTTGTCTAAATGAATAGCAGTACTGGTTAAGACTGATGGAGGGGGCATCTTCAACCGATTCAGGGATTCATCATTTGATTGCTGAGCTTTCAAATTTACATCAAGATCCAAATCTAAGTCTAATGTCTCTATGTTATCCTTGAACAAGGGATCATCCATGTCTGTTGCTGGAGATATAGATGGAGCTCTAAAACTTGACTCTTCAATGCAGAGTGGAAGACTTCTGGTAGTAGGTCGTTGATATGGTGGAAAACGTGGGATTGGATGGGAAGAAGGCCGAGGAGGGAGCTTGACCAGTGGTATACCTGGCAAAGGAGGAACTGGACGTTGTCTAGTTGTAGGAGGAATTCTCCAATCACAAAAAAATCTTTCCTGCATGTCACCTGGAAAGCCTAAGTGAGGCCTACATCTCAAGCTGGCACCAAAGTATTCCTCAGCTTGTTCGGAAGTAGGAAAAATTGAATCAACACTGAAACTGTGATCAGAAAAGTGTAGGGTCGGTGAAATATCCAAATCTTTTTCAAGCTTTGCAAAAGGTAAATGTGACCTTCTATCTTTCTTTGAATGGTCTCTACCTCTGTATTTCACAATTTCTCTCAGATCCTGTTCTGCAGGAAGACTTTGCCCAAGCCGCTTTTTTTTACTTAATAAATTAGATTCTACTTTGAGAAAATCTGGTAGTTCAAAATTGATCTCTGTGCCTCGTTGATCATCAAGTCGACCCCTCTCAGCTCTATTCCACACTTCAAAAAGGTCTAAAAACATAAAAACAATAACTGCATTTTTCCTGTTAAAGTAAAATCAAGATCTGCATATCCTGAAAATTGTTTTTCTATTTTCTTCAACAATTCGCTCATTGCTAATCTTCTTCGGAAGACACGGTATATACAATAAGAACACAGAAATACATTTCACATATTATGTCTAAATATGATTCTGAAGAAAGCCAATGGTTGAAGTGTTGACAAAACATAAAAACAAACATCTACCAAAGATACAGGTTGTACTTTTTGTCTTAAGAGTTCAACACAAAACAGCATTTTTGATTTTATGTAAGTCTTCTATACTGAAAATGTATTTCCGATAAGTGCTGTATGCTCCTCTCACATAAATAGCTATTCTAGTTCAGTGCTGTCTTCTATGTGCAAAAAAATGTCTTGCACATGCCACAATCCTTGAATCTTGAGGCAAGACTCAACAAATATCAGCTACTTGGATGATCAATCTCCCAGCAAAATAAAGTTGAAAATCTTCCCATGGAGTGCCGCAACCTGAAACCAGTATAAAGGTGCGAATAGAATATATAAACTCCAAAGTGATAGTGTAGAATTCATAATGAAGTAATAAGTTCCATAACTTTGTAGAAGTATAAAACAATTCCACTTCGGAATAACTCAACGAGTTACAAATATCACTTACGTATAGTAAAAGAGTAAACTTGTTGAGAGAAATTAATACAAAGAAACAGGAAAAAATTAAAATACTTGAAGAGAGGTCAAACTAAATGTCAGAACATGAATACTGGCAAACAAGAAGTGCCAGTTCAGTTGAATTGAATAGAGGGAGCCACATGCATTAAGAGAGTATGTCGCACTCTTATTGGTGGAGAGTTGTCGAATGATGACTTGCATGTGAGATGCACTGGAATAAGTCAATTCCAGATGTGGGAGATTCAATGCTTGTAGCATGTGCAACAAATTCTTTTGAAGGAGAATAGCTATTTATGTGAGACGAGGTAATGAATGTACTGTATCGGAATGTCATTTTCCTGACCCTTTAATGACTGTACAAAGTTATCCTCAAACAAAATACTTATTTTTACATAATCAGTTTCAAATATTTCTCTATAAATCATTTAATCTAAAAATTACCAAGAAACCTTTAAAGCCTAGAATATTGCAAACATAAAAACAGTTAACAAACTAAAACTAACCATCCCGTTCCAGTTTTGTTCCATCTTGACTAGAAATAGGATGATCCAGCATAGGAAGTTGAACTCTTATGCCCATTGCTTCATGTAAAGAAGTTCGGTTACCAAAATTAAACTTTGATTTGTTTTTCAGACTGGACTGACTTTCGTGGTCTAGATGAAACGAGTTGCGACGAACCAGGCCAGATGGCAACTTCTTTGGTTCAGTAAAACCACTTTGTAGTTGTAGTGTTGCTTGCAAAGAATTTACCTGCAGTAAGAGTGAAGTTTTCTCATTTCATATTGCACTAAAACTTGAGAGTCGGTCTATACTCTAGTGGATATTAACCAACAGTTACTAAACCATGCTGAATTAATATAAACCTATCATTCAGGTCATATGTAGATCACTCAAAAGTTACTCTTTAATACATATTTTTCTATAAGTAATAAAAATCCATAAAATGAAACACAGTAGACATTACAAAATAGATGTATCCCCTCTCCCTAATGCTTACTTTGTTCTCCACAGATCTTTGATTTTCTAAATCCACTACACCCAAGTCATCAAATTGAAGTTGCGAGCTTTGGTTTAACAATTCTTCAAATGCTTTTTTAGTAACATCCTCTTGTTCTGGAGTACTCACTGGCTGTTGTAACCGAACAGCTATTGGAATTATCTTACCGCTTTCAGGAACCCACTCTACAAAACAAGGATAAAAAAAGAAATATTTATGCTTGAAGGAATGAGCACAATGTTCAATTAGAAACCTAAGGAAAGAGAATATGTTTATGACAGTAGGAAAATACAATTTATACAAGAAGGAATAAGTTGTGTAATAGTATAAAGCATGGTTATGAGTTAGAAGAAAGAAGCATGGGCATGGAATATGAGAGGTTTAGAAATGTTTTTACTAGTTTAAAAGAAAGTTAGCTCAACATTAGTTATTAACATATCTCACCTTTGTAGTCATCCTTAGTTTGAACCAACACTCGCTGATTATCTAAAATAGAGATTGGCATCAGGCTTGTCACAGGTTTCTGAGTTCGAGCCTAAAGAAATATTAAAAAAATATTATTTGAACATAGTTTTATAAAAAAATTTCTAGTGAGAATAAACCAGAGCAGTAATTCTCAAATGCTTTTTAATGTGGACCATCCGATTTCTTTTTAATCTAAGTGGAACACAATAGAATCTACAATACTGTCACTTCCTTTCCACAAACTGGCTGAAGAATGTTCACATATTAAGTGTTCCATGGCCCATATATTATGAACCACTGAACTATAGAAAATTGTCTGTAAAACAGAAAAAAATAAAATATAAATTTAGAATGCACAAAACCAAAATGTGCTTTGTGTCTTAATCATATTGATTATGCTTTCAAACTACACTTAATATCTAGTATCACTATTTACAATTACGTTAGTCATACTTATTAATGCTAGTAAACCATTTGAAAGTTAAATTACCAGTTGAAGGACAACATGTTCTATATTATAGTGGTACTTCTCCAAAATGGGTTTCAACACTTCTCCACACGACTTCCCAGGTTTTGCCTTCACTCCAACGACTTTCTTCTGAGGCAAATCCAAGCAGAAAAGGATTCGCTGTTCCATGCGAAGTTCTTGGTATCCTAAAGTTGCAACATCTGCATTCTGGTCAACAGCCTGAATAAGAAAGTTTAAAAAAAGTTAAAGAAAGTCACAATCTAGAAATACTCAGCATAACTGTTCTAAAATTTTCAACATCCACATAAATGCTGATCAGATAAAATGCTAAAACTGAAATAAGAGATTAATTTTACCATTCCACAAACATAAAATTCAAACTAGCACATAATAATAATAATTCTATTAAAAATAGTTTATTTTCATGTTAAAGCACATTAATGTTCATAGCTGGCACTTGTAATTAACATTTTACCAATTGCAGTGTTACACAACTCCTATTTTCATTTTCTTAAGTAAAAATATTTCTTTCAATCACTAAAGCTGTTTCCAAATCCTTCTTCCCTTAATAATGTTGAAAGATATTATAACTGTAGTAAATCCTGAACATGCACACACTATCCCTCATGGACTTTTTAACTTTAGTAATGTTCAACTATGACTGTTGATTATTAGGCACTTGAATCTAATTTCAAACATATTACATGTACTGCATCCTCTTTCTTTAACTGGAGAAGCCCCTTTACTAAAACACACAAAAAAAGTGGTATGTCAGAACAGTCATTTTCCATTCTTACTCTGAATGAAAGGATAGTGATAAGACCATTGACTGAAACCACCAACAGTTATAATTTTTGTTATTATACCTACTGAATGTATTTTGATTTTCAAGAAAGGCTAAAAAAAACAAAAAAAAACGAATATTTATTACCAAAGCATCTTTAAAAAAATCACTTAATCCATTAAAACTAAAAACACATATAATAACTGGCAATACATACAACTGTATATAAATCTTTTTGTCTCAAAATATTTATATCAGGAAGTAGTTAATTTCCACAGTTCTACACATTTTATTATTTATGCTGAGTGGGTAATAAAATGGCCAGTCGGCATAGAGCCAATAATTAAGAAAGCATGCATAACCAAACACAATTTATTATAGACAAATCAAGTATACAAATTTTACATCAAAATCTATTGAATATGATTTTGCGTTGAGGGCATATTGAGGCCACAGCCAATCAGGTTTAATCTAAAAAGAAGTAACGATAAAGACCCTCACAAAGGAGAGCTGGAATAAAGAAAGTGCTATTGTAAAGAATAAAAAAACACTAATAAATGGATTTAGAAAACAATATGAAATTCAAAATTTAATTAGTTATAAATGTTTTAATGTGAAAAGAATATCGTTCAGCTTGCAATCATACTGGAAACCTCAAAATTTCACTTGTCATACATCAACAAAGTATCTCATACTATTAAGTTCAGGACCAATTAAAAACATCATTTATTTCCTTCTAAGCAGTTCAAAGCAAGTATTCATAAACTATGTAAAAAAATATCACAAATATTTCAAGAATCAAAGGCTATTATTACAGAAAGCCCAGCTTTTGTGAGGAAAACCAGATGTTAAAAGTAGCTTACTCCTGAGAAAACTGAGCAACAATTAGTTATTGATAAATCATTGTATTTTTATTTCATAAGATCACTTGATTCTTCTTGTACCTTTCCTGTAGCAACAATGAATGCATCAGCAGCTGAGAAACCCAATCCCCGCCTCTCAATCAATCTACGTAACATTGTGCCAATAGTTTCACCAGGCTGTGTCTTGATTACAGTTGTTGACTTGTCTGGGAGAATTACTCGACATAGGTGACAACCCTCTAGAAATTGGCTTGAAAATGTTGCTACTTCAATAGAATTCAGGGACTGTAACAGATATATTGCAAAAAAATCAATAACAATCAACACTTAAAAATATAAATACATGACATTTTTACTACTTATGTTAAAATCTGAGAAAACTTATGATTTAGAAAGGTAGTTAAGTTACACCAAATATCACCAAGCTTCTGAATTGTTTCTTTCTCTTTTATATATATTTTCATAAAATACAAGGTTATCATTCAAGCATATAATGCACATTAACTACTGAGGTAAAACCACCATAAAATACAAGGTTATCATTCAAGCATATAATGCACATTAACTACTGAGGTAAAACCACCATAAAATACAAGGTTATCATTCAAGCATATAATGCCCATTAACTACTGAGGTAAAACCACCATAAAATACAAGGTTATCATTCAAGCATATAATGCACATTAACAGCTGAGGTAAAATCACCATAAAATACAAGGTTATCATTCAAGCATATAATGCACATTAACTGCTGAGATAAAACCACCATAAAATACAAGGTTATCATTCAAGTATACAATGCACATTAACTGCTGAGATAAAACCACCAAATTATGAATGTGGCAAGTAAAATTATGTATGAATAGAATTTTACTTGATATCTTTAAAGTACCGAATACGAGGACAAATGACTATCATGAATTTATGTTTCTCTATTTATCAACATATTTCTCTTTTTTTAAATGTTTTTAACTTCTTGTCACATGAACCAGCCAAGCATCTTTTAGTACTCAGCCTAGAATGGTCATTCTGAAAACTATTTCTTTGACTTGACAGCCCAAGCTGTGCTGATAAGCCTTCAATAGGCAAAACTGCAGTCCACAGCAGCAGCAGGTACAGCCAATCAAAAAAAAAACATTAGGCCTCTACATCACAGATTCTTACCTTTGGGGAAATTGGAAGAGAATCTGTAACATATATATGTAATCATTAAGAACTTGGTCCAATATATAATGTGGAATAATGATTTAGGCACGAGCTCTAACCTTATTCAAATATCTAAAATATTTTAAGGTACTTTATTGGTGATTGAAAAGGACTTAAAAACCTCATTAAAGTACTAAGTTGTTTTTTGCAACAAAATAGCATGACTAATGCTAAAATTGTTTAAAAACTATAACACAAAAACTCAAGTAATCTTTATCATAACGCCTTGAATCTATTTTTGCACTTTTTAAATTTGTTTCTTGTTAATTACAATCAGTAGGAAGTAATTATATACAAATAAACCATACAAGATTTTGTAAAAAAAAGCAATAAGTCTACTGATCTGTACCAAATGAGTTTTAAAATTACTTTTCTAATAACTACCATATTCTGAATACATTTGGTTTGCTTTGTAAAGGTTTGGTTTTTCATTTACATTGTATAATTGAAATAAATTGTCCTACAAGTCAAAGTAAAATAAGACACAAGATTTTTCCAAGTGAGTTGTTTTTCTCGTAACAATAATTTGACTGCTATACTTCAGTCATGGTCAAACTTAACTGAGAGTACAGCAATTGAAAACTTGTTGAAAAGATAAACTATTAACATCTACTTTAAGCCTTTTTTTTTCTGTTTTGGGAATTAAACAGGATAACTGTGTAAAACACTTTTTATTGGTAATATAATAAAGTAAGTTGTCTGTAACTCAGATCTAATCCACCCATTTCACAGTGGATAAGTTTCCATTTTCACTTGTTCCGTAACTAAAGCAGTGGTGTAACTATGCTGATGTAACCAATGCTGTGGAATTGGAGCCCAAACAGGAATGTCAATAATAAAAATAAAAACATTTACACACCAGTGTGACATTTGTTTTTTCAAAAAACTCCCAAAAGGTGGCTCAAAAATATCAGTCGTGGTGCTTGTGTATTAAAAGTTGTTATAGTCTTTTATATTTTATAATGCTCATTAGAGTGTTTTCTATATGTTAAAGAAGTGCAGATATTTGTATTATTACATTAAAAACTTAAAATATATTAATAAGTGATGAATATTTAGAAATGAGAGTTAGCATTTGGTGTGTGGGGCCTCAAGAATTGTTTTAATCCATACTTTTGGTAGGCCTTGTAGTGCTAATTTCTTTTAATTTCTTTACTTTTTTACAATGTTTGGGATTAGAGAATGCATCTTGAACGTTGGTATACAGTTGGAAAATGGAGTGTGATGTACGATTTCTGTGTTTATGAAATTATGTTAGTGTGTTTGCTTCTTTAAGATTCATTTAGTTAATGTATATATATATTAAACACACACATATATATATATATACATGATTGCATTGGGACTGATGTTCTCTAGTCATGCCACTGCCCAGAAGGCAGATTAAAGAATATCACAAGCTATCTAATATGCATAATTAAAACTCATTATTAGTAGTTGTAAAATTAATTGCTAAGTAAACTGTACATGTCAACAAAATGACCATTTTTTCTCTTTATTTAAACTTAGATATTACAGTGAGGACAACATAATATTTAACACATAGAACCTGAAAAATAATTCACTCCAGTAAAGAACATTTTCTTATTTTAATTTCTATTATAAAATTCTGCGGATTCTCTTACCTCTTTGGATGTTGCTGGTTTACAAAACATTCCAAATTCACTGCTTGCAACTGATGAACGGCTTCCTGTAAAATTGGTGGAACATGTTGAACTGGTGTCCTCAGCTTTAATGTTTTCTTTTTCTTTCTTCCTTCTTGAAGATTTGCGGAGATCAGACTGTCTGTCTACAAGCTTCCCTACTCCTTTCTTATTGTCAGAAGGCTTACTTTTATTGCCTAATATGAAAAAAATCAAATGTAATTGAAATTACTAGAAAAGTCAGTTTTCTTCCTAAATGTGAGCAAATTAAATAGAACTAAATGAAAATTGCACTTTAACTAAATTCAAACTATCATGATGTTTTGTTTAATATAGAGACAAAATAAGTATAATGAAAAAATAATACACACATTTATTAATTACCTCTGTTTTAAAAAAGATACTACCACTGTTTAACCCATCTATTTTAAGATTTCTGGTTTCCAACTTGTCTGTAGTAAACATTGCTGTAAAAACACCATTCTAAATATTGCTAATTTCAGGTTCAGCCAAATGTAAATTTGAAATACATGGTACTTTGGTTATGATATTGTGTAAATACCCCTCTCACATTGCTCTTGGATATTTTTATAGATATACATAATCAATTAAGAGTTATTCACCCAATTTTGTCAATAAATGCACATTTTAGGAAATGCATCAAAGACATTTCCAACTCGTACTTTATTATTCACTGTTGAAAAATGTCTTTCTGTCACTTTTCAAAACATTTTCTGAAATTCAATCACAATAATTTAATATACTTAAAGCTATTTTTGTTTACTTTATATATATAAACGTATATAATAAGCATTACAGTAGTTTTGCCATTGTGAGTCCTAGTTATCAACTTGATGTCATAACAGATAACAATCTGTGGTAATATTACCCAAATGTGTTGGGGGTGTCCCATCTATTATACAAAATCCAAACACTGATGTTAAACTAGCAGCTGTCATGGGAAATCAATTAAGGGTAAGGAGCTGAGTGACCCACAACATATCAACTCCTGCCTTTCACTGTCTGCAGCCAGTTAACATAACATAATATTTTGGGACAATATGGGACCTATTGGTCCATCTCAGCTGTTCCATCCTCAAAACTAAATTAAAATAATTACAAAAATGGTAATAATAAAATTTTAAACCCAACCCTTTCCATTCATATACTTTTCAAGCT